TGGCCGCGAGGTGGGCCTGCTCACTTGGCTGAGGTACACCATCTGGATACCGCTCTATCCCATGGGCATCCTGTGCGAGGGCATCATCGTACTACGCAATATTCCCTACATCGATGAGACGAAACGGTTTACCGTGGAAATGCCAAATCCCTGGAACATCACCTTCGACATGGTTCTATTCCTGAAACTATACCTCCTGCTGCTGATCCTGCCGGGCAGCTACTTGGTCATGTCCCACATGGCCAAGCTGAGGTCCAAAAAGCTCGGACGGGGACGCGCCAAGCGCCAGCAGCATCTCCACGCCGACTAGTCGACACACACTGCCAGGAGCAAGGTTCGTCCGTCTCATGGCTGCTCGTTTTCCTATTTTCGTTTAGCGTAAGCAAATAGTCCAAATAGTCCAAAGAAATATCTACATCCACCTTTCTTTCTACATTGATGTTCATTAAACTTTTTAATCATATTGCAAATGTAAATTGTTTCCATTTCATCGCAGTGGGCTTGGTGTCAGAAAGCCCTTATTGTACCGTTCAAAAGAATTTGGCCGGAAAAAGAAACAATTCCTCAATTCAATTTCTAAATATATGTGCATACAATAGATTTATTCAGAGCGCTCTGTGTATGCCCTCTATTGCTAATCACAATATCCAATCATGTTTTTGGCACACTTTTAATAGCTCTCTGTATAAGTGCTTATTAGAATAAAGTTTTTGATAAAGTCACACACAGTACGAAGTGCACACTTGAGGGGAATTTGTGTATTTTCGTGACAGATCTAAGCCAACATACCAAAAGAGCCCGCGCACTGAGCTTTAGCATCCTGTCAGGCATTGGCTCTTGTCCCTCTTTTGCCGTTTGGGTTTGAGTTTGACGGGTAATCCAATTTGCACTCGAGGACGATGCACAAGTAGCTACTGATCCACTTGACCCACTACTGGCTTTGATTTCTGGCTGGAGCAGCTCGCTGGCAGCTCCTAACTTTGTCATTTCTTCGAGGCTTCCCCACATGCCGGGCGTTATTATTATTTATGAGAAATATGTGGTGGTTAGACCTTTAATTATGTTCGAATTGCCTTTGTGTTCCGAACATCAATTGGTTGTGGGTGGGAAAGCTTATAGCTGATAGCATTTGTGTGGCACCTTCTTCACTTGAGTTGGACAAAGTGGAACACTAATGGATATGACGATAGTGCAGCCGGCAGTTGTCACCTGCTGAGCGTTATTAATGACTTTGGGCCGGGCCGCCAATTCGTCCAACAAGCCAGCGAAATTTATCCCCATCGAGTCCCTTTTCGCGTGAAATATTCATTGCAATTTGCACTCTCACTCGGCATTCGCCTGCAATTTTTTTGTGTGATTTATTTTTTAGTCGGAGCTCACGTATACGGAACTGAACTGAGCCGGGGTTAACGTTCAACTAATCACCCCAGCGGGGCCAGCTAATAAACTTCCACGAGAAAGGCCTGGTCCCTAGCTGATAAATGGGTTTTTGATTAATGCCGAGCGCGATTGATTTTCGGCCACTGTGGAGCAGTGGAGCCAACGGTTTAGCGGCCCATTTCGAGCGCAGAAAAATGTGCGGATTTATGCCATCTGACACCCATGCACGGCATGACGAGGAAGATGTGGAAGTGCAGGCATCAGCAGTTGGCTGCAATCATGATTTACAGCCTACTGTAGTTTTTCACTGGCTCCCCCCCATTCGAAGCGGTCATTTATCAACCGCGCGCCTCTGGCAAACCAAATCCCACAACCACTGGGGAAGGTCAGAAACGAACTAAGCCATCGAAGCCCGAAACCATAAATATGAACAATTGGCCCAGCGTAAATTGCACGCAATCAAAGATAAGTGTTGCCCGGTTGCCAGGCAATGAGGAAAAATTCCAATACCAAGTCTGCCACGAGGACAGCAAACAAAGGGGCATTGAAACACTTAATCAACTTAAAAACAAACCATAAAGGACTATTCAATTGAATGAAATTAGAAAACTTTAGAACGTACTTGTATTTAGAGTAGATTAAAGCACCATTCAACTATATTTAGCGAAATATTACGTATACGCCCAATTACACATGTGTCGCTCCTTTTAAACTGAATAGCTTTAAAATTAGATTGACAATTCAATAATCATAATTTATTTAAGTGCAGATAAATTGGATTTTTATAAAAGAATATGCAATCTTAATATACTTATATATATATATATACCACTTGTATTGCAGGCCAATCTATATTCCATGGCAAAATGTGTGATTTCCGCCCAATAAATGGACAGAGAAAACCGAAGAAAAGGAAACCGCACCCCGACCACCTCATCACTTGTTAATGACCTCTTTGTGTCGGACATCGAAATGCATTTTCTGCCCGGCCACATGGCACGGAAGTATGCAATAAAACTTCTACTAATTGCAGGACACAACCGCAGCGAGGTTGTTGCCACACACCACAGCTGAAAGTGCCCAAAGTTTCCCCAAGTTTACGGAATTTAAAAAAGTGCACAAAAGCGTTCGCTCATCAAAAAAATGCCAGGGATTGAAATGTATAATACACCAAGGCACACACACTTTAAAGCTCATTTTCAGTTAATAAGCCCATAAAACATTTTTTTTTTTTCAGTTTTATTATAAAAGCCAGGAAATGCTGCTTTGAGTTTATATACTCTCACGATTGATTGCAGACCGTAATTATATTAGCAGACAAAGAGTTCAATTCGAGAAAAAGGAAAAAAATTTAATAGCAAAATAATCAAAGAAGAGCAAGTACAAAAAATGGTACAGGCTTACCAAAAAACCGAATTTAAAAATGCTTTTGTATTGAATCGATCAAATTTGGTAATGACATAGTTTTAAAGTTAAAACTTGATTGCACAAACTAGCAATAAACATTATGATTTATTAGTTGCTTTAATTTAATCACTGAAAAGCTATATAGTTTAAGTTTTATGATGTGTATTAAAAGTGGCTGAAAGAGGCGGCAATGAAAAGCAATAAAAGCCAATGTAATAAAACCCATATATTGTGTGCATGAATACGGGCAAGTATCAGCAAACACTATGCAAAATGTATATGCAGTATGCACTTGGAATGATTTGTGTGCTCAAATGGCTGGAGACATCGACAATGGAGCCACCGAAAGCTGACTCAGAGCCAGCAACAATTTTGCATTCTGCATTCTGCATCCGCTTTCGATTTGAATTGCTGGTGGCGCCAGGCCAAAAATCCATTGATGGCATCCACACCCGTTAACACAAAGACACACACACACACACAGAGAGAGATCTTAACCCCTTGTGAGCCACACATCCTTACTTTATGGCTACTAAGTAGTTCAACGCCAGGGAATCTTCGTTTGAATTTCGGCTGAGGGAAGTGGGTAAACTATTGGTCCTTGGGTCACGTAGCTGAAAGTCCTCGGAACGGGCAGCATCGGTAACTTTCAGCCACTACAAGCCGGTTTTTATTATACTTACTTCCCTTTCGCAAAAGTTATGATAAATGAAAAGCAGTGACAAACAGATGCTTGTGATAACTACTCACACTACCCAAACCGGCGCACTCGGACTTCAGCTCTGACTATAAGTTTATGAAAAATGAGCCCAGATGATTATTCGATGGCAGCTGCAAAGTGTTGGGGCAGCAATCAAATGTCATTACTTACAAACTTTCATTTAAAAGGGTACCAAGGCAAAGCGAAATAGAATTCAACACTGGTTGGAAGTGTGGTGCCGGAAAATTGTTACAATTGCAATCGAACTGGATGCCGCACACAAAACGAATTACATTGTAAAATGGCTAAAAGATTGAATTTCTACTATTCAGTTGGCTGCAAAAAAGTATCTTTTACAGGCTCCCAGTTATTGAATAGTATTAGGTTTCGATAAATTTAGTGTTTGTTAAACCTGTTGTTGAATATTGTTCTTGTGAACTTTGTGATAACATTTTTGTTTATTATTATTTTAATATGTTAAAATTAGATAATCGTTAAAAAATTTTCTTAAATTTCTTCCAAAGTTTAGAAACATGTTGCTTAAGAAAACTGTAATCAAAAGGGTTTTGACTGATTGATTGTTTAATTTATTCTTTATTTATAATCAATTACGTTTTATATTAACAATTTAGTTTCAATGGGTTTGCGTGTAAGTTGTCTTCATACTTGCTTTCTATTTTTGTGAAGGTTTAATAGTTTTCCAAACCAAAGTTTACAAATAAAAAATGTATGTGCAAACATTTGGTTGAGTTATTTTTCGTTTAGCGACTTAACTGACCTTCCTTCTGCCTCTTCGCCCTTCGCCCTTTGACCCTTACACTTTTAGGCGGTTCGCCCACAAAGTGTTGGCCAGCGGGCAGGCAATGAATCTTCAAAGACGCTCGGCAGAAGACCCCAGGCCAAACTAACCCACCACCCACTTTGGGGTTTATTTTTTGTGTTTGATAGTGGGGGGCGGTGGTGGGTGGACAAAGGCCACGCAATCGTGTGGCGCAAAAAGAAAGGGCTGACAGCGAAAAGAGCTCAACTTGGCCAAATGCTTTTCTCTGCCCCTTTTTTATTATTACATATATTTTCACTTATTTCTGGCTGAAAATTGGCTTGGTCCGCCACTTGGGCCTAGATGGATACCCCGACTCAGCTGAACAATGAAGGCCAGCGCAATTACTGAAGTGGATAATTAGAGTTTGCAGCGGACTATGTGGGCTGGTTAAAGCATGTGACTGAATAAATATTTAAGCTAGTTTATTGAACGGCAAGCTTTATCCATTTAAATTGCAAATATTTTGACCTTCATTTCCCTCATACTTATTATGTGGTGATGTTTGCCCAATGAATTTTCCCACATTAATGCGGAATAACAGCTTCCAGCGTTGGCAAAATTAATTTGTAGTCATGCAAAACAGTAGCAATTAATTTTTAATCATGCACACATCCTCTTCCTCTGTTTAAAAATATTTGTATTCTAAATGGAATTTCACTCCGCCCAGCCAAGCATCAGAAAATAATCAAGAATGTTTTGAAGTTTAAATTTAATTAAAAACTCATGCGAAAAATGACACAATCCAGGCACAATACATTGAGGGAAACAAAAGGCAGCAGGACACCCTAGAACCATCTCGTCAAAAGCCTAAGCCAGCTGGGATATTTGGGCCTGGGCCCAAACAATGTCCACTTCGTAAGTCCCTTTGGTAAATTAAAAATTTAAACGGAATGAAAAGCCTTTTTAAAAGTGATTAATTTCGCTTTCATTCACATTTCTTTTTGTAATCTTATAAATTGTTTGTTGATAACTCAGGAAACTGTAACTTGTATATAATTTAATATAACTTAATCTGATTTATTATGTTCATACCCATCATTAATATTTTATCCATACCATAGCTCAAAAATTTAATTGAATATACTATATTGAACTAAAAAGCCATTCGAGGCTGCATTAATCAGTTGCTATCAATTCAATTAAGGTAATTAATGCGCTTGAGGCAAATATGTGCTTTTATCTTCGATATAGTGTTGCAAATATTGATGCTAACGTCAGTGTTAATTACCTTAACAATTAATAGCTAATTAAATAAAAGTTTTGAATTGAATTCGGTCAAAAAAACAACATAAATAAACGATACGCATATGCAACACATTGCATTTAAAACTTAATTTGGCAAATGGATTAGTTAATGATATTAAACACTGTTGTCATTAAGCTTAATATTTATTTTCTTTCATTAATAAATTAATTGTTTTTGTTGTAAATATTACTTGTACAATTATTTTCTGAAAATAACATCACACAATAATTCGAAATAAAAGCTCAAAGCGTCCGAATTTAAACTTAAATTTAGGCTTAGTTTATTATTATACTTTTATGTTAAAACTTAACTATGATTGTTGTAAATATCATGAAGCTTATCTCTGTATAAATACTTTATATTTTTTTTAAAAAAATATTTATTGAACTCTTAGTAAAGTTTTTGATTAACTCCTTTAACTTCCAAGCTTTTTAAGACCTTTTCAGGAGAATTGTATGCGATTGAGTATATTTGCGGTAACCTAGAGTTTTAAACTTAGATGAGGGGACCAGCATGCTTCTTTTGGCCCTTCAGAACCCTTCGATTGTGTGGCATGGCGTAGCACAATTTGCTCCAGAAGAGCGGATCGCCCCACTTGAGGTAGGTGTTTAGCTTGAGGTATGCCCGCAATTCGCTATCGATGCCGTTCATGTGCTCCAGTTCGCGGTACAGAATGATGATGATCCTCTTGCGCCTGTCCTGCAAAGTGGCCTGGTAGGCGATCCGGAACTCCATGCGTGCCCACACCGAGTCGATGAAGTGCTGCGACAGCACAATGATCACCCGTTTCGAGTCGTCGACGGTGCGCACAATCTGCTCGGGAATGCAATCGCCCACCAGCCAGTCGCGATCGTGCAGACATATCCGGAACGGATGCGGACCGCTCTCCAGCTTGGGCAGCAGCTTGCCGATCAACTCCTCGTCCTTGTGCGAGTACGAGATGAAGGCGTCGTAGGTCTTGTCCTTGTCCAGCTCCTCCTCGGACACCCACCACAGGCAGAGGTTGTTGTTGTACAGCCAGATCTTCAGCTCCTGCCGGAACATCAGGTAGAAGACGGTGATCAGGCAGCCAACGATCACGAGGCCACCAACCACGCAGCTGATGAGCAGGACATACGAGGGGCACAGCTCGAAGGCCTCCATCTGCTGCAGGGCCTTCTTCTGCCTGGCACACATCACACTCCCTATGTCCTGCACTCTCTGCGGGTTTGTGCGCACGAAAAAGAGGAGTGGCAGTGCGGCACAGTCGCAGGATATGGGATTGCCCGACAACGAAAGCGTCATGGTGTTGTTCGCCAGCTGCATGAACTCCAAGAACTCCTCGCTGATCGACTGTATCTGATTGCTGCGTACATCCAGGTGGGTCAAATTGGCCGGCAACTGGTCACCAGATCCCAAACTGGTGAGATTATTGTCCGCCAGGAAGAGACGACTCACATTGGCATAACCACGATGCTCGTCGATGGTGGGCAGTCGCGTGAGGCTATTGTTTCCCACCTTGAGCACCGTGCTCACCAGTGTGGTGTGCGGCAAATCCGGCAGTTGCCCCAAATTCGAGCCACGACAGTCCACAATCAGGTCTCGTATATGCTGCTGCACCCAGCAAATGCAACGAGGATCGCACTGCCAATCCGCCGACTTGTACTGGCAGGTCTCCTCATTGGTGCACACCACCGCCTCGTAGCCCATCAGCAGTGTGGCCCCGTAGAACTGCGTGTTCACCATCTCGATGTAGTTCAGACTGACCACCTCGCGGAACACACTGGGCGACATGGCGGTCAGGGAGTTCTTGTTCAGACGCAGCACGGTCAGCGATGTCAGTGGCGCGAAAATGGTGCTGCAGGAGGGAGGAGATCTCAGAAGGATTAGAGTGGCTTGTACAGTGGGGCCATCGGGAACTATCACATCTAAACTAAATCTCTAATGCTGTATGTTTACAGGGGCTACTGGGAGGAGTTTCTCAGAAAGTATGGTTCTCATTGCTAAACAAAACTCAATTGATCTCACAGTTTTTCTTATTACGATACAAATGTTATATTCAAAACAAACTTAAGGAAGACAATTTTAAACTACATATATACAAAATGTATAAATATACTGATAATTATACAACATTTAAAGCTTATATGTATAATATCTCTATCCTAATATATATGGTATAAGTTATATAAAACTGAAAGAAATGCAAAAAAGTTGTGAATTAAATAAGCTGTCCAAAAATTGTTTATATGCTGATAATTTAGAAACTGAACTACCAGAGCAACGAGAATAAATGACAGGAATGTAAATAATATCAATATTTTCCTAAGCCCTTTAAAAATAAACCTTTTGTAAAAAATAAATTTCGTGAAATTTTAAACGTTTTTAATACAAGTTATTTGTTTTTAAATCAATAATAAGTTTTTGGGATTTTTATTTATAGTTACAATCTGTAGACAAAGACAGTAAAAATATATATATTTATATAATATATATATATATATTTATACAGCTTTAACAAATATGAAGATATGAAATATTTATTTCAGAAAGGGATTCCTAAATGTCATTAATGTATTAATTAATTTTGGTACCGTGGCTGAAGTACATCCACTCCATGCTAATTTGATTTGATTATACAAATAATCACAATCACCGTGTGAGATAATGATCAAGCAATTAATAATGTTTGGCATACTTTTTGGTGCCCGAATGCTAACAATAATAGTGCTGCAATTAATATCTGAGAGTGATAGCGCCACGATAACCCCACTTGGCTGTCAGGTGAGAGACATAATGGTATTTGAACTGTTGCTTTTGCCGGAGTTGATAAATAAAAAAGGCGGCAGCGATAAGGCCAAGAAGACTCAGTCCAATGGAAATCGATTAATTAATTCTGGCTGGAGTTCTCCAGACAGCAGGCCCTATCGCTGGGTGGGCCATCTTTTAATCAGTGCCAACAAGTATCGAAAACAACATCGGAACCCCCCCTTCACCGTTCACCCACCTTGATAAGTCAGTCAGTCTATTTTTGGTTAGATCCAGATGGGTTAGATTGCGCAGGCCTTTGAAGACGTCACTGTGCAGTTTGTTGATCGCATTGCAGGATAGATCCAGGGTGACTAAATTGACCTGATCCAGGAATATTTCACCGGGCAGCTCCGTCAGATCGTCGTTGCCATTCATCTTGATGAGCTGCAACTGCTCGGTGCCCTTAAACATTTTCCGGTTCACACGACCTGTGGCCTGGGTCAAACGCACCTCCACCAGGTTCTTCATGGATCCAAAGAAATGCGGCTGCAGTTGGTCCCGTCCACGTTGTGGATGAATTAGTAAAATACTCAGGTTCCGCAACTGCTGCAGTTCTCGAAGCAGCGGGTCTTTGAAAGCGATCATGGCGGGACTTTCGATGGTCAAGGCTTCCAAAGTTCCCTTGACCGTGGACAGTAGATTGCCCGGCAGCTGTTTCACTGCCACATTGAGCCGCAGTTCCTTGAGACTATCGAATTCGTGGAAAATGGACTCCTGTATTTCCTCCACAGCGCTGTAGAATTTAAACTTTTTCAGGCCAGGAACGGCTCCAAAATGCCAGCTGGTTATATTTCCGGCCACAGATGACTCCTGATAACCATCGCTTGAATTGAGGACATCTCGCGTGACCACAGTCTCTGCTGTGCGATCTCTAAATATCACTGATGTAACATTCTTCACTCCCAGTGTTTTAAACAGATCGGCCAGGAACGCCTCCGGCCAGAAGCTATAGGCATCGAACTCGATTTTAACAACCTCACTGATATTGAAACGCGGCAGCCATTGCAACTCGCCTGAGGCGTAGTAGCTCATGTATAGCGATGCCCCCGGTTCGCCGACCTCCAGCAGCATGGCATACTCATCGGGGCAATGGAAACGCACCACATTCGCCTCTGCGGCACAAGTGCACTCCGGGCTATGACCCTCGCAAAAAGTGGGCAGCGGTATTATCTGACCCATCACCCGGTGCACTGGCACCGTCGTAAGAGTCCAAAGAAGCCACACTACCGGCAAATAGCTAAACATTTTGCGGACACTTCACTTGCCCCTTTTTTGGCATTTAGTATTTATGATTATATTGGGTCTGGTTTTTGCGACAATCGAGGAACGAGAAACGCGCTGCGAATATTTAGTACGTGAACACGGCAAAGTTTCGGCTATGACTAAACCACAGCTGATTGGGATACCTGCCAGCCAACTTGGTTATCAGGCCGGTTTTGTTTTTATTTGTGGCTTTTTTTTTCAGAACCCATATCGCAGTTGAGACCCATATTGAGTTGACATGGCAGCCATGTGAGGCGAATGCGAAGACGCCATTATCAAATTAGAGATGGCAATAGGCAATCTCGATGATATCTTAATAATGGGTCGCAAAGTTCAAGACCATTGTGAAATAGCAGAGGTAAAAACACCGACAAGTTTCAAGTTATCAATATGAAAGTGTTGAACATAACTAATATCTTAATTCTTTTAATAAATCTAAAATATTTACGAATGATATAAGTTGATATTTACTTCCTGTTTTTATTATTTACTTTATTTCTTCATGTCTTGATAAAAGACTTATATTATTCTTTCCACCACTATCCTTCGATTGTTGATCATAAATTTATGGCACCCCTCAAAAGCGTGAGTCCAATAACATGAATCATTTAAATACAACTAATTCGACATTCATCTCAGTTTCCAAGCATTTGACATTATAGATAACGTTTTTTAATACCTCCGATTTTAGCCATCTTGCGGAATTTATTTATGCCCAAATGTCATAATGTTAATGACACGCTCATGTTTGTTGTTTCTAAATTTGCAGCCGTCGATAAGAAGTGTTTATATATTTTTTTGTATACCGTACTGACAACTTTGAGCGGCAACTTTCAAGTGTTTGCACGTTCATTAAAGCACCCTTAATGAGTCAACGAACGCAAAATTCTTTGGGAGTCACACAAACTTTGTTTATGTCGTAGCTGCATAATTTCAGGCATTTCAAGTTTCAGAAACTTATAAGTTTGTTTGCTTGCTAAATGAAAAAGTATCGCTTCGCTTTATAAAAAAGATAAGTGACATAAAAACATCATCATAAATCAATTAAAATAAATTCCTTTATCGTTTTATTGGATTTCCATGAAATTATCAATTTAAAAATAAATCCATGTTGAGGAAAATTGGTGGAGGTGCTTTAACGTGCAAGTAAATAACTTATGGGAATTAAACTGTTTTTCATCCATTAAAAAAAAGGGCCCGCCATGAATATTCGATGAGAGGACCCAATATTGCGCCCTAAGCCGCGCCTTGAACTGTCACGCATGCAGCATATCCTGACATGTCCTGACAGGTGTGTGGCGGCCCACGATGGAGCTTATCGAGCCTCGACATCTGGCCAAGCTGTGTAGCTGTGTAGCTGTGTAGCTGGGGGCCCAGAGCCAGACACACTCAAAAATAAATAAGGGCCGTGCTGGGCCAAGTCAATCACTTAAACTGAAATGGCTGCGCCAAAGTGGCGGCCTTGAACGCGCCAAGGACACACAGCCAGTCATTATGGACTTTGGCACATTGTCGAGTTGTCAAACTTCGAGCTGCGCTCAAGTTGAGCCGTCTTCATTATAAGTTGCTCATAATTCATTTCGCGTCGGCGGCCCAAACTCAATTAACAGTTTTTGCAACATTTGGGGGCCAAAGTTTTGAGTGACATTTTAATTGGGTGAACCCCGGTCTGCTCATGCAGTGCAGCATATCGCCATTGCCATCTCCATTGCCATCTCCATCGCCACAGGACACACACATCAAAAGTGACCTTTTCGGGCCTGAGCTGGCTGAATGTGAAAAGGCAAACACAATTACACGCCCAATTACACAAACGACAGGCAAGAGGATGGCAAAAGGGTTCTTCTTTGGCAGTCGCACACATATTACGCATACGCACTGTGGTGCGTTGGCAATGTGATGCACCTTTCCGTCTGCCTATGTAGATTCTCGCACATCGTGTTCTTCCTTTGGTAGTGATGGAAATAACTGACTGGTGTAGTAGAATTTCCTGGAAATTTTGAATCCATGGATAAAATTTTAAAACTGCTAGTTATCACTCTAATACATATCTAAAAACTTAATTTTTTCAATATATAACAAATATAAAAATAAAATGTGAAACTCTGGTTTGAAAAATGCTTCTATTTTATGCGAAAAACCTATAGTTTTTCTAAATAAAATTGGATTATCACATCCCTCACAGCTAATTTGAAAACTAATCCCCCTTTTACTAATGGCAATGCCATCAAATAAAATCCGATTATCTCACATTAAACACTCGCCTCCGCTGCCGAAATGCGGGCTTATCTATGCATGTGCATCTGTCCATTTGGCTTCCATTGGAACAGTTGTCCGACTACTGGTTAAACGTCAGTGGGCGACAAAAGGGAGCTTGACTTTTGACTTTTTGCCCCCGGGACAGGACTGGTTTTTGCAAATGATAATGAGAAGACGTGAAGTCCCAGTCCCATCAATCAGAGCTGAACTCGCCAGCTTTAAGGGGTCTCAACGCATAAATGTCAACAGCAAATTAACATCATATCCACACACACGGCCAGTGGGAAAATGTATGCTTTTGGACATGGCAGAAACAGAATTCGGAAACCTCTGTCAAATGTCAGCCATGGCCATTGTGTTGGCAGCTCAGATTGGCCCAAACCCATTTGACATTTGGCAAATTGCATGCCAAAAGGAAATGCATTTTGAGTAGCGCATTCCAAATTAAATCAAAATACACTTACACGCACAAACACACACACACAAAACCCCGACAACAGCTAAGCTCACTGGATAAATAAGCGAACAGCAGTGGCATAAACATCGGCAACAGCCAAATTGTGCTTCCCTTACAATTTGGAAACCGCAAATACATTTTCCTCTTCCAATCCGCAGAAGAGTGGCTTTTGTGTGCCCGTAACTCTGTGCGAGTGTGTACTTGGAAAATCAAATCAAATCCCCATCCGCAAAAGAAATCGTACAAATGGAATAGAATAAGAATGGTGAACAAGATCAACTATTAGCAACAAATCAATGAAGTTTTGTATGTTTTGCCAGTCGATGGCAGGCATCGAAGACATCCTTAGATTCGGTCTTGGCACCACACCGAAATGTGCAACGTTGCGTATACGCAATCTGGGCCATTTGTGGGTGCACGGCTTGGGGGTCAGCAAACAACTGGGTAAGTAAGTACAATTTGTTTTGTTGCCAGCGGCTTAGTGCTCAGTACAACACAGAATGCACTTAAGTCGAGCGAGTTGGGTGGGCAATAGAAAATGCAAAAAGGGAATCTACCAAAGTGAAAATAAGTTCCCTGTGCTGAGTCGAGAATTTGTCGAGATTAGCAGATTTTACGATTGTACGTCGGTGTGTTCTTTCTATTTCAGAAAGGAATTGTTCGCATAATTGATTGAAATATCCAAAAAGCTTGTTTTTGAAGGCTTAATGGTTAAGCCGTTTTTTATGAATAGTGTTTATTTATAATAGGTTATTTAAACTTAAAATAATGTTTATTTAGAAATGGTTATTTAAACATAAAATTAGTTTTCTAAATAGGCTAATACTTTTTTCTACATTTCCTACTAATTGATGTGGTCTTAAATTTAATATAAAAGGGCCAGAAATAAATAAAGCTCAATTATACCATGTTTTTAATTAACTTGAATAAGTAGAAAGACATTACTTGAAGCTCCTACTATTTCTTCTGGGTCCTTAGTACAAACAGATCATTTCTCATTGTGTCATACGGCTGTATATTAAGCATACGCCTCGTCTGCCACAGCCACAGTCACCACAAGCGCGAGACATGGATCTTCCTGGCATCCACATACACATCCACATACCCACGTGCTACTACTTGCGCCACATTAAATGGCAAAATTGTCAAAATGCCGCAACAAATGGTGACCGTGGCACGTCCGGTTTTTCTTTTTGTCCTGTCTCTCCCAACATTTTCTTTTTTTAATTTTTGTTGTTTGAGGCAGTCCTTTTGTGGTAGGTGTTGCTCAATGCTCCTCCTAACTGGTTTGTTGGTGGAAAACGCTGAAGGCGGGTATGCAGCCATGTGTGTGTTTTTGGGGCCGTTGGCGATTGTCGTTCCAGTTTACTGGCTGCTCCAGCATTGTTGTGTGCAACAGCAGAAAACGTCGTCAACATTATTGTCAGCCGCATGTGTGCATGTGTCCTTTGTCTTAGTCTCCCACCAGAATCTCCTTTTGGCAGGATTGCATTTTGTAATTTGTTCGCTACATTAAACGCTTCTTTGGCATTTTGGCAAATGCGGCTGCGAGAGTTCTTTGAAAGTTTCGCCTGAGGTATACCCCTTAACAAATAACATTTTGCGGTTCACATAAGTTATTTCTCTCCAAATTAAACCACGAATTGTTTTAACTAGTTGAAAGTATCAAAACATTCTGCAAGTTTTCAAAGAAATTAAGCAGATGTAGAGCCAAAAGTCCGTTTAGCCCCCTCGGATTCCCTGCCATGCTGGATGTCAGCTATTGCATTTTATTTTTGGATCCAGATGCAGGCCAGGCGACATCGCAAGTGTTCGAATGCATCGGGGCATGAAGCAACTACGACAAAATACTGAAAAATCCAACTGCAACAGAGGCACCAGCAGCAACAAATTCGACAAAAAACTCGGCGAAATGAAAATATGTATAAAAAAATGTGAACATAAATAATATTGCACGCGACTATTAAATACTCGGTACTTTATTTCTTAAATATGAAAATGTTATTCATTAATAAAACTAATTGAATTGCGGTATGGATAATATTTTAATTAAAAAGCTCTTTCAAACTGAGAAATTATACTAAATGTCTAGCTCAGGGGAAAATACTGTGGGTACATAATAAATATATAAAAATATTTAATTTATGCTCAATTTGTATGTGTCCAATAGAAGCGTTGGCTTGGCCATTCGTTTTTCTAAATGAAATATTCCTTAATAATCATCAGACCAGAGATGTAGAATCGAATATACTTTATTCTCGCTTTTATATACCCAACATACCCTTGCCCCGTTCAAGTAGCGGGTATAAAAATAGCAAAAAGTACGAAATGCCAGGGCAACAAAGTTGCAAGTTGAGTTCAGCAAACAGCGCACAGCGGCAGCTCTATATAGTGCAGTTTTTTTTATATATTTTCGCATA